TATATTGGGGGTGCCACACTATGCCAAATCAATCAATGGGTGAGTTTCTTTAAGTTTATACATTTATAAAATTTATTTGTTTATTACACTGTTTATTATAACTCCTACCTCGTTTATTATAACAATTTTTTTTTCTTAAACAATTCCCATTCAAAAAATAGCGACAAAAAAACAAACAACAAACACTAAACTATAAACTTAGAGCTTTTTGACATATATGATATAAAAGAATTTAAGTTTTTGTGTTGAAGACTAACGTTCTTCAACACAAAAACTTAAATTCTTTTATATCATATATGTATAATTCTCTATTTACCCTATAAGAAAAATCTTTTTCTTAACAAAAGCGTAAAAGAAAAACACATACAGATAAAGATGCTTTGTAAAAAATTGCGATGGTTGGAGCCTGGGAACAAAAAAAGTACTAAAATTTTGGCGCAAACGTGAGAGCAACAAGTTAATAAAATATTTTTTTTACTAATCTCAATTTAAGTTATATTAATCGGTAAATTTTAAATTTCATACAATAATCTTTTAACATTCAAAAGTTATGACTATATAAAATTTGTAGCCCCCCTAAATTGAAGGGGATTTAAATTTTAAATCATAACGCTGAGAGATTATACTATGAAATTTATAATTTATCGATGAATATAACTTAAGTTGAGATTAGTAAGAAAAATAATTCATCAACTTATTGTGGCCAAAATTTTAGGGTTTTTTGTTCCCAGGCTCCAATCATCGCAGTTTTTTGCAAAGCATCCTTATTTGACATAAGTACAAATGTTTAAAATTTGTTCCATATATGGAAGATACTTATCTCAAATAAGAAAAAATGTTGGATCTGCCCATGATATATATGTGTGTGTGTGTGTGTGTGTGTGTGTGTTGCGAAGTTTAAAAGATATCCCTCAAGATGCAGAAAAAACTTTTAAATCAATTTTTTTCATATATTAAATCAATTTTCCTTAACATTAAATATTTATAATTTATTTTATAGCAATAAATGTTTATTATTTACTTTATAACATAACATGTGCATTAAATATGTAAGAAAAATATTCTAACAGAACAGAATTATATCATATTGAACAGATGATATATTGTAGAAAACTTTGAATAAATTTTTTTTTTACCATTTTTTGTTTTTTCTATAATTAAAAAAATTGTATACTTTCCTTAGACAATAAATTTTTATGTTTTTTTACAACACAAAATTACTTCATAAAAAAAACATATATTTTATATAAAAACATATATTTTATATAAAAACAATTTAGAAGTATATTAATTATAGTAAAAACACTTCGTACATAAAGGGTTCGTAGCCACATATTTATAAAAATTTCCCTGACTTTTTTGAAAAATCAGATGAATTTCCCAGACCATTTTTAACATTAGCAATGGTTTTTATAAAATGTTAAAAATTACTACTGTAATGAAAATGCTAAAATGTACATGCTTAGAATGACAAAACTTATAAAACTTAGCTATTAGTTAAGTTGGATGTTAGTATAGATTTTATTATGCATATTATTAAGGATGACTAAAAATAAACAACAGGTGAGCTTCTTAAAAAATCTAAATATTATGCACATAAAATTTAGTTTCAGATGATCTTCAAGAAAATCTAAATATCATGCACATAAAATATTTTATATATAATTATTTTTCACTAACACAAAAATAAAATTTTCAACCTGCTGTTCATAGTCACCCCTGTTGGTGGTACATGTTGTAAACTTGTAGCTGATGCAAAATATTAAAAACCTGTCAAAAGACAGATGAGCACGAGTGTCATTTTTACCAACAAATCTTGTCCTTGTGAAATGCATACAAGTTTTCAACATGTTCTCTCATTGAATGAGCAAACATGTTGCAAACTTGCTTGCACATAACTTAATTTTTTTTAAGTTTTAAAGTTGTATGCACTTGAGGACAAATCTAGTAAACTGTAGCATTTTTTTTTTGCCTGACAACTTTCCATTTCTAAACTGTAAATAAAGTTTAATAATTTTTTATTTAATTTTAATAGTTTAATAATTTAGTATTTTGCTTGTGGCTTTGTATTTTTTTTTTTTTTTTGCAGTTTACAACATAAGCTTTAAAAAATAAAAGATCAAATACCAATATAAAGGAATATAGACATTCGAGAGGAGAATAAAGATACTAAATAACTAGTAATGTCTTGAAATTTAGTTAATAGAATGATTTTTATTTCTATTACAAGTATTTAACTATTTAATGTTTTAATACATATTTCAATAACATTTATAATAACTTGCTAAACGTTTTAAAAAAAATAATAAATAACCAACTTGCTACAAAAACAGATTGATCAATTTTGGTATATTCTAAAGACCATTATGTATATAAATACAGTGTTTACAAGAGTAATTACAGTATTAAGGTTGCACTTGCTGATAATAAAGCATATATAAGTGTTAAAATCAGAGTTATCAGTTGTAAAATAGGTCATTTTTAAAAAAACCCAAATATATTTTGGGTTTTTTTGGATTTTATTGGGTTTTTTTAAGGTGGGTTTTTTTGGGTTGGGTTTTTTTGCCAACCCTGATTGTAATGCTTATAGAAACCATTACTTTTTTAATAAAAACTTTCAAAAGTTTTCAACAAAGTTGAAAATCTTTGAAACTTTCTGTAACTTATGTAACTTAAAATAAAAAAAGAAGTTTTTCGCTTTAAAGACACAAAAATGTTTAAAGTTAAAGATGCTGTTGTTTATAGAATAAATTACAGAAATAGTTTTAAACGATTGAAATTGATCATAAAAAATTATTTTTTTTATAATAAATAAAAAAAAAAGAATTATTTTTTTTATAATAAATAAAAAAGAAAAATACACTATTATTGTAAAAATAAAATAATAACCATAGACAATTTAAATAAAATATTTTTATTGATTAATATTTTAAAACAATTGTTAGTAATAAGAGCGTTTTGCCTATTAAAATACATTTAAAAATATTCAAGTTTTAAAAAAGTTAAAAAGCCGTGGTCAAATTTTTAAAAATGAAATATTATATGCGTGGTAAAGGTGTGAAACACTATAGGGTATTTTTTAATTGTCAAAATAAATGGGAAGCACCAACAGAAACATAATAGCTTATTTGTAAAACGAGTAGTTTCTCAATCAGAATTCCCTGACTTTTCCCTGACTACCTAGAAAAAAAAAATTTTCCCTGACTTTTCCAGGTTTTCCATGACTTTATCCAAATTTGGCTGATTTTCCAGGTTTTCCAGGTACAGTACGAACCCTGTACATATATTATTAATGCCGGCGTTGATAAAAGAATATAATCTTAAAGTAAAAGAATATAATCTTAAAGAGAAATTCACCCATGATACAATTTTAATTTTGGCAAATTTGTCATTTATTGTACCCAAGTAATTTTTATAGGTTTAAAATTTTTAAACAATATTAAATTACCAAAAGTGACTTCAATTGTTGGATTTGATGCATCACATAGGACGTTTGTTTCCAGCTTAAATTTTGGGTTTGTTTTGAGTAATTTGCGAGAAGAAATTCGGCGCGAGAATTCCCTAAATTTAAGAATGTTTAAAACGTACACTTCACAACACATGGCATTATATACCTTCCTACATGCCTAAATTTATGTAAAATACTTTTACTGATGATATAGATGAATGAAACAAATTTACTAACAAATAAAGTTATCAACAATTGTCGTTTACATAAAATAAAATTGAATATGCCGAAAAAAAAAGTAAAAAATAAATGAAGTAATGTCTTAGCGTATCGCAACGTAAATATTCAAAAACTTATAGTTAGGAAAAATCATAGTCGATTCAAGATTGGCTTTAATTAGCCAATCGCTCATTTTTAATGAAGCATATGCATATTTTTAAAAGCTAATTTAAAAAAATTGCTTTTTTAAAAAAGCTTAAACAGGTCGAAACGTTAAAAAGATTTTTATTTTAAAAGCAAAATTAAATAAGAATTTTTAATCTGCTTGTTATCTTTTTTTGACATTTGAAATTTAAAAAGATTTTGAAATTTTAAATTTGAAAAAAAAAATGAAATTTGAAAAAAAAAAAAAAAAACACCCCTAAAAAACAAATTTTTTTAATTTGTTGAAATTTTTGTCTTTTTTGGATACCTTGACAAATCGGTTAAAATGTTAAAAAATTAGGCGATATTTTATGCCAGTGTCGTAAAACAAATTATTACTCATAATAAATCAACTAGCGTTGTATATTTTATTTAGAAATAGATTAACTCCCATTGAAATAATAACTATAAAATATATGCATATTACTAGAGAATTTAAAAAGCTTTAAACTGGAGTTAATATTTTAAAACATAAAATGGAAATAGAAAATAAATATAATAAAATTCTGATTTTATTTATACTAATAATTTGAATAAATACTATTTTTCGACTTAACAACCGTGCAAAATGTCTATTCCCAGTAAAGTAAAAACAAACAAAGCACAGTACTTTTAAACGCGTTGATTATTTGTAACATTTTGTTATTTAAATTCAGTTGAATGTCAGTCATGAATTCAAGTCATAAATATTATAATATTGTCCTAAATCAAAACAATTGCACTAAAATAAATAACTCATACCTCACTGCTGTTAAATTTTCAGAATTCGAAAATGGATCAAATGCAATGCGAATTTCACGAACAAGCTTTAACGTTGCTTGCTTTGCAGCCATACTTTCAATAAAAATGTTATATTTTAATAGTTTTAAGTTGATATTATCTTTTTACTAAAATCGTAAAATAAAATGCGCGCACATAAATACACAAGATTATTACAAATGTTTCTTTAGGTCAATCATGATATGATGCATTTAAAATCACAACTAAAATATAACGTTTCATATAGACTGTAAATTTTATTTAAATCAGCCTTCAAATCCCTTTTTAAAATCTATAAAATCGCTCCACACATTTTAATTACGATTTATAAAAAACTAAATAATCCCAGCAATTAAAAAAGAACAAGATATGTTTTTGAAACACAAATTTAAAAAGACGCGGTACATAAAATCATTTAATTTTTAATCCGTGGTTGTCTTTGCTCGCGCGTAGCTCTAGGTTCTTGTGCAGCTCTAGGCTCTTTTAGTTTATCAGATTTTATATCATCAGTATTTTTTCTTTGTCCATATGAACCTCTTCCTCCTCTTGATGAAGACGGTCCTCTAAATCCACCTCGATCACCTCCACCACGGTCTCCTCTACCACCTCGGTAAGAACCACGATTTCCAGCTCCAGAACGTTTTTCTTCAATGTTTATAGTATTAGAGTTTATAATAATTGGCTGTAAATAAAATATAAAAATATTTTTGATAACAATTTTTATTACTAATTGCTTTACATCATAGCGTATTTTACAACACGCCTATTCACCGTGCGGATGACGTCAAAAACTGAAGGTAAAAATTCTGAGCTTCTATATTTCTTGTAAGGCGTCGAAGTTCTAACTGAATTATTAGTCAAAATTTTAAATTAAATTTGTGATAGAAATAAATCGTGTCACAAACTGCAACAAAAATTATGATTAAGTTTCATAAAAAAAAGAACATTTCATCTCTTTTGAACACCAAAAAAATAAAGTTGATGACGATCATACCAATAGACAATATACCAGATTAGAAAGACACCGTTCGTGAACGACATTGGCCTATTAAATACATTTCACAGAAGATTTTGGCATAAAAAGAACTTGTGATTCTCTATCTGGGTCTGAGTGTACTTAAGGAAACGTGTTTAACCAGATGATTTGTCTGCTTTGAATTTAAAAGATTTTGTACAACCATTTAATCATCAAATGATTAAAATGTTAATTAAACTAATTAAATAGCAAAAAGGTTAAATTTGTCTGGAAGCAATTGGTGACGAAACAATTTGCACTTTTATATGTCATTCAGAATCAAAAGATGTAGATGATTCTCTTTCTTATTTTTTAAATAATTTTGGTGAATCGGTAATGTCTACAGCCATCGGTAATGTTTTTAGCCAATTTGGAGATATTTGTGTGATTAAATATTTTTATACGTTTTATTATTAAGTATTTTTTTATAATTATATTTTAAGTTTTATTCGGCTTAACTGTTTGTTTTGTTTTTTTTTTGTTTAAAAAAAACTTGCCTCCAGTTTATGTCTTCCACAAGGTGAACAGGCCTGTTATAAAGTATGCTATGTTTTAGAAGAATAAACAAACAAAAAAAAAAACCTTGGTCTTGAGAAGTATTTTGTTGGGAGCGTCAGGACCATCAAACGCAATAAAACCAAAGTTCTGTTTATATTTAAAAATTATTTATTAGATAACAAAATTTAAAAACAAATTACAAAAATAAAAGATAGTCTAGTTTAAAAAATATAATACCTTAGAATTGAGACGAATTTCCACAATGTTACCAAACTCTAAACATAAGTACATAATTCTACACATAAATACATAAATACTGTCTTAATTATTAGCTTTGTCTTAAGACCAAAAATTAAATACTAGGGCAAGATCTTAAGGCTATTTGACTTTGGCTTCTCACTTTCTTTTAATTTCAATTATATTTTTGTTTTCAGCTTCTCACATAATATATAGAAAGCTAAAAACAAAAAATATATACATTTTAAAAAACAAGAATAACTTTTTTATATTTAAAAATACATGTTTTAACTAGTCATCATCAGTTTTTGAAAACCAAATTAATCAAATTTTTAAAATAATTATTCATTTTGTGCTTAAATAAGATTTTGGTTATATATATAAATATATATATATATATATATATAAATATATATTGGAGATGCACCGTTCTACTTTTGGCCGATGCTGAAGCCGATTGGTACAGGCCGATGCATAGACCCTAAATTCAAGATTGTACTCTATTCTTTTTTACTAATAAGTAAATTGGGACTTTTTTCAAATATAATGTTAATGATCAATTTTAATGCTTGCTTGTTGGCTACAGTTTGCTTAATTTGAATACTTGTTTATTTGCTGAAATTTGCTTGATGCTTAGTTACTTTGCTTATAGTTGAACAATGAACTTTGCAAAATAAAAATATCAAGAAGAATTTGGCAGAAAACTTTTTTTTTAAATCTTACATTTATATTTCTTGATTTTAAACTTATCTCTTTGTATAGTTTGAATTCATAAGTAATATAATTGCTTTTCTAAATTACAAGACATTAAATGCAGGGAGATATAAAGCAGTTCAAATAATATTTAAAGGCTTAGTGGTTGCAGATATATTTATATAACAACTTAGGCTTATACATGGATTTTTCTTTATGGAATAATTATACTTTTGTATACAAGATAGAAACACAAAAACAAAATACAGATTTTTCAAAACAATCAACATCAGGTGATGGTTACCAAGACTAATATAGATGCATCAGCTAAACAGTCAATGCATCAGTAGGCTGATGCCAATGCATTGGTGCACCCCTAATATATATATATATATATATATATATATATATATATATATATATATATATATATATATATATATATATATATATATATATATATATATATATATATATATATATATATATATATATATATATATATATAGGGTGGCTATTAAAACAACTTTTCAGAGAAAAACCTGCTCTGACCTCTTTAATTTGTTTTATATAATACTAAAACACTAGGTTTAAAATTTTTTTGAACGAAAAATATTTTTAGGGGTAGATCAGGATCCTTGATAATTTGACAGTCCCTAATATATAGTTTTTGTAAAGTATGTCAACCTGGTACTCAAATAAGTAAAACTATATAAAAAATTTAAAAATGAAAATCATTTTTCAAAAAGATAATTTTTTTAGATATAAATGCATAACAACTATTGTTTTTAAACTGAAAATCAAGTCAATATTTTCAAGTTTGTTAAGAATAATTTTTTTAGACATGTTTTTTACTTAAATTGATTAATATTTTTGAAGTTTTTATATAATTTTGCTACTTTTGAGTACCAGGTTGACATACTTTAGAAGAACTTTTTTTTTCAAATTATTAGGAATCCGTCAAAATTTTAAGGGTCTTAAGCTAGCTCTGAAAATATTTTTTGTTCAAAAAAATTTTAAACCTAGTGTTTTAGTATTATATAGAACAAATTAAAGAGGTCAGAGCAGGCTTTTCTCAAAAAAGTTGTATTATGAGCCACCCTAATATATATATATATATATATATATATATATATATATATATATATATATATATATATATATATATATATATATATATATATATATATATATATATATATATATATACAACCAAAATTCAAAAGAAGATTTTTAAAAACAGAATATAATAGTATATATTCAAGTGATCTAATACCACCTTGTATGTATGGTCTAATTAAAGCTCACAAACCTGATAAACCCTATCTTATGACAATAGTTATATCAACTATTGGCACTTATAATTATGAAATATCTAACTACTTAGTAAAAAATACAATCTTAAACTAAAAAAAAGCGACCGTAATATTCTTTTGATTTTATTAGTAAAACAAATTTATGGGAGATCGACAAAAACGAGGTTCAAGTTTTGCTTGATGTATTAAACCTGTACCCATCAAATCCACTAAAGGAAGCCACATTAGAACTTACAGACCAATCAAATAAAAATGATTCCTACAAATATTTCACCAAGTTTACTGTATCAGAAGCAAGACGACTTATAGAGCTTTATTTACACCATTGTTATTCTGCGGAACACCAAGATTTGTGAATTGGAGAATTGCGTTTCTATAGGTCTTTTATTCATGGTCATACTAGCAGAGTCTTTCTACAATATCATCAAAGCGCTTTTAAAATTGAAATGACATAAAATCCTCCTCATGACATTAAATCCTCCTCATGACATTAAATCCTCCTCTTGACCTAAAATCCTATCTAAGATATGTTGACAATAGCCACGCTAGATTTTCAAACATACAAGAAGAAGAACAATTCCTAATTATCTTGAACAAACAACACCCTGTAATATAATATGCAATCGAAATTAAAAGTGAAAATAAAACTTAAAACTTTCTCGATTTAATCATAATTAATAACACTAAAGGTAAATACAAGTTTAAAGTTTATAAAAAGGAAGCTATTATAAATATTCAAATTGAATCTCACTCAAATCATAACCCTAAGATTTTAAATGCAATATTTAAAGATTACATTCACAGAGCTATACTATATGCAGTGGTTTATATTTATAAATTTCTAAATTCAAATATTTAATGTAAATAGGTACAACATATACTAACTTACACGTATTGAAAACCAAATTAGGAAAATCCATAAAAATCAACAAAATTAAATTAGATTCTGTTAACTGCCTAACTGTATTATACCATGAATTTTAAAAATATATAAAAACTGTATTATACCATGAATTTTAAAAATATACAAAAGAATTTTATAACTGTATTACATATATATATATATATATATATATATATATATATATATATATATATATATATATATATATATATATATATATATATATATATATATATATATATATATATATATATATAGTAATTGCTCTTAAAAATTTAACAGTTAAAACTTCTTTGAAAACTTACATACAGTTTAAATTAGTCATATATCCCTGTGTAACACGTTCAGAATTTAAGATTTTTAAATCTTAAATTCTGAAAAATCTTAAATTCTGGCTTCACTTTTAAACTCAAGTCAGGCTTGAGTTAAAAAGTGATTTTTAAGCATCACGTTATATTTTTATGTCATTGGGGGCATCAAACGCCCCAAACTTTCAAAAATTGATCCGTGAAAAATTGATTCTTAAAACTTTCTATTGGTTCTCACAAGACACTCTACTAAATTTTTTCAAAATTGAGAGAGATTTAGTTAGGTTCTGTTATGTTAAAATGTGTTCTATGTTAAACCAAATGACGTGATGCTAATATTTTATATCAATGCTTTGTTAGTTAAAGAAAACAAAATATTACTGTTAAATTAAATGTTAA